AGGTCTATGTGGAATCGAAAATTTTTTGGTATAAAACCAGATAGACAGAAATTTTTGAAAATATCCAGAAAAAAATAAAAAATGCTAAAAAAGATGCTAGGTGCTAGATCAATTTTTTTGGTGCTAAACGAGTTTAAAAAGTGCTAAATCTAGCACTAAAAGTGCTAAATTGGCAACACTGGTCATGATATACCATGCCGCCTACAGGCCGGTAATATTATGGTGGTGACCATGAAATAATATGGGTCGTATGGATGGTTGGTTTAGAATGGATTTTCGGCATGCGGAAAATATCAAACGCATCGAGGTTCACATAAGTGTACGATTTAATTTGAGGAAAATTATACGAAATTCAAAATTGCCTGTTAAAAAACATAACAAGAATCCCGATATGTTAGAGTAAGAGAACATTTTATCAATTGGATATACATATTATAGATATTCGATTCATTCCTTTTCAGATGGGGTCATGAAGAAACCAATGGCCTCTTTCCCTTTGACGATGTGACAAAACCATTTCGCTTGGCATTGGCTTTCACACCGAAATCTGTAAAAATGGCCAAAGATGGTGTGTATCTTTTTAAGTACCGCTATCGCACTTCACATGTTCTGCCCTGGCTAACGGGTTTGAAAATTAAAGGTCAATATGGTATGAATGTTCGTGTACTCGGCATCGATCATTTATTATCGGATAATCCAAAATGTAAGGGATTTGAACAATATTCAGATTATTGAAATAAAAATAAAATAAACAAGTAAAAAAGCGTTAAAATTAACTTTGCATACCCTCCACCATAGAAATACTGAAAAATTTTTGAAATGAAAATATAGAGAATAAACATATAACTACAATTCTACCGATCGATTGTTGTAAACCAAATAGAAATTTCAGCAATTTCAATTGGGGCTTTCCCTAAAATCTCAAAACCCCAATATGTTGACATAGTAGTGTGAAACATGAATGTAAAATCCTGAAAATACTCCAATTTGGAGGTCAAATTTATATGAGGCATACTAAAGCGGGACCAATATTGACAACATTGTGTAGGAATTAGCGAATACTTGGTGTTTTCATTATATAAGAGGTTATGCCTAATTAAAGACCGATATGGCTCAAGTTCCAAGCTAATAATTTAGTTTTGAATCCCAATACCGTGCATCACGCTATGCTGGTCGATATAGTTTATTCTCAAACCTCACGTTCCAGTTTTTATGTCGATATCCTCCGATAGAAAAATGATTACAACATATGGCTAAATCGACTAAATCGTTTTAGAATTCCATACTATGCAGGGTATGAACTGAAAATTTCGTCTACAAAATATCCCGCATTCTATGGTGAAATACAGCTATATGGGAATAACCCCAACACACGGAACAAATTAGCTAACTATTTTAATATAAAAAAGGGGGTTATAAGGGGACTAGCCCTAAAAGGGGTGAATATTAATAATTTTTGGTAGGAAGATTTGTTACCATATACGACTACAAAATACCAAATTACAGCGAATTCGGTTGAAAACCGTGCTCAAGAACCCCAAAATACCGAAAAGTGGAGGGTACCCTTATATGGGGGCTACCCGAAAAAATTGACCTATATTTATAATTTTTAGTGGAGAGATTTGCTACGCAATAAGAACTCAAAGTACCAAAGTTCAGCGAATTCGGTTGAAAAACGGGCGCAAGAACCTCAAAATACCGAAAATTGGGGGGTACCCTTATATGGGGGCTACCCGAAAATGTGGACCGATACTTATAATTTTTGGTGGGAAGATTTGCTACCCAATTAGAACTCAAGGTACCAAATTTCAGCGAATTTGGTTGAAAAATGGATTCAAGAACTTCAAAATACCGAAAATTGGGGGGTACCCTTATATGGGGGCTATGAGAAAAAGTGGACCAGTGTTTATAATTTTTTGTATAGATATTTGGCACTAAATAAGAACCCAATTTCAGCGAATTCGGTTGAAAAAACGCGCTCAAGATCCCCAAAATACAGAAATTTGGGGGGGTACCCTTTTATGGGGGCTATCTGAAAAAATTAGCCTATATTTTTAATTTTTGGTGGGGAGATTTGCTACCCAATAAGAACTCAAAGTACCAAATTTCAGCGAATTCGGTTGAAAAACGGGATCAAGAACCTTAAAATACCGAAAATTTGGGGATACCCTTATATGGGAGCTATGCCTAAACGTGGACCCAGGGACGTACGCATAAACAAAACTAATATACCCTCCATACTATGGTGGAGGGTATAAAACCATATATAGTTGTTGTTGTGGTTGATTGGAGTACATGATCACGATAAATACCCATGCCTAGAGTCACTGAAAAAATCCACGTTTATAACTTATTTTTTCAGCTCCAGAAATATGGGTCGTCCATTAGGCAATAAAATCGATATTTTTTATCCTATATTTTTATGGTACGCGGCGAATTAAACCATAATGGTGGTCAATATTGCTAAAGCCAGGACAACTTCTCTGACGTCTGTCAGCAAACTACATATTTACCATCTGGGGACCTGGGGTCCCGTATGAGAAAACAATTTCAAGACTTTTTAAACAATTATATTTTTCAGAGATATATGCCTATATAAATGATCCGAACAATTACATACTTACTTCGCTGGCTTATGATAGAACGGTTGTTACATAAGCCGAGCCTAAACCCAGTAAGGAAAGCAGAAAAGTCGGACTGGACCGACTATATGATACCCTTCACCACTTTGGGTATATTGTACATATGTATCCCCTCCAAGGAACATACGCAAGTCTTTCTGCAACCTATGATAAATTTAATTTCATTCGGGCAGATTTAAAGTCGACTTCGTACCATGGGACAAATTTATGAAAAACGACTTATAGCAAAATTAATACATGCTGTTCGGTCGCCGCACTGTTAAAATTTTAATTTCATTCAGACATCCCTTCGAAATACATATGGAAGCTATGACAGCATCTACATCAATTTCAAAAAAACGCAATAACGTTATTCAAGTCTCAACTTGATACGTTGTGCAAAACATCGTGTTAATCGGACAAACATTAGAAGGTTGGTGCACCATTTATGTAAAATCGAACGAATATATATGTATATGTGGGAGCTAAATCGAAACCAGAACCGATTTTTCCGAAACTTAGCACACATCATTCTAGACTTAATTCAGTACGCTGTGCCAAATATCATGCAAATCGAAAGGTATATAGGAACTTTGGTGCACCATTTACCTTAAATCGGACGAAACTATATATGGAAGCTATATCTAAATCTGAACCGATTTCCACGAAACTTAGCACACATCATTCTGGACCTAATTCAGTACTTTATGTCAAATTTCGTGCAAATCGAATGATATATAGGGACTTTGGTGCACCATTTACCTTAAATCGGACGAAACTATATATGGGAGCTATATCTAAATCTTAACCGATTTTCTCGAAACTTGACACACATCATTCTGCACCTAATTCAGTACTCTATCCCAAATTTCATGCAAATCGAATGATATATAGGGACTTTGGTGCTCCATTTACCTTAAATCGGACGAAAATATATATGAGAGCTATATCTAAATCTGAACCGATTTTCTCGAAACATGGCACACATTATTCTGGACTTAATTCAGTACTCTGTGCCAAATTGCATGCAAATCGAAAGATATCGAGGGGTTTAGGTGCCCCATTTACCTTAAATCGGACGAAACTATATATGGGAGCTATATCTAAATCTGAACCGATTTTTCCCAATTTCAATAGGGTTCGTCCTTGGGTCAAATAAGTGACTTGTGCCAAATTTCATCCAAATCGGATTATAAATGCGACCTGTACTTTGTTTACAATTTAACATCTACAGACGGACAGACGGACGGACGGACATGCATAAATCGACACAGAAAGTGATTCTATGCATATTTTAAAAAGGAACCATGTGTCTATCTCGTTTCCTTTTGCCTGTTACAACCATATGCACAAAGACATAATACCCTGTACCACAGTGTGGTGAAGGGTATAAAAAGATTTCTGAGCACGTCCGAGATGTTGTCCTCTACTTGATCTTTCCATCGGATTCGTGACCTTCCCCTTCTGTGTGAACCATCATTTGGCTCGCTTTTATATGCATTTGAGTGGGGGAATCCTCATACATTCTCACAACATTACCTAGCCAACGTAGGCGCTGCAGCTCGATACGTCTGAGCATGTCGATGTCCGCGAATATATGGTATAGCTCATGGCTCATTCGACGACGATATTCACCGTCGACGCAGATCGGGCCATAGATCTTCCCGAGAATTTTTTCTCAAACAATCCCAGAACTGCCTCATCTGCTTGCGCAAGTACCCATGCTTGAGATCCATATAACAGCTCATGTAAAATCAGCGTCTTGTAAAGTGTGAGTTTGTTCTGGTGAGAGGTGGCCTTGCTTTCCGAAAGATTACTGATATTATAAATGTCTGCCTTAACAATGTAATAACGTCATTATTTTTTAATATATCTATCTTATTAATTAATAGAAACATTTTCAAAATTTCAGTTTTTTCTTTGGTTTATTTAATTCAAATTTTTAACAATCTCTAATTGCGAATAATTTTCAAAACCGGTACATGAAACATCCGTCATTTGAATATGATTCAATTCGACAAATCGTATCTTCAGATCATCTAGACCAAATATTTTCAAACCGCCAATGACTGCTAAGACATCGGGAGTTCTATAGGGAAATGCGAATAAAACGGCACCATCCTTTGCCAACAGCAATTCATTTTGTCCGAAGGCCACTGCCAATTTGAATGGTTGGGAAAAATTATCAAATGGAAACTGTTGTAATTTTTTCTCCTCGCCAAAACTGTAAAAAATGAGAAAAATATAGAAATGAAGTAAAAGGCAGAACATATCTAAGGGAAAGCTAGATAAGCGGATTAATTATCAGGACAAAAATCAATATCCGAAAGATACACCTATCCCTACTTCCCTTGCTTTGCATTTGTTGGATGATCTACTCTACCTATAATGTTCGCCATCCGGTATCGTTTTCGAATTCCAAATAAAAGTTTTAGTCTTAAATGTAGCTCTCACGTGCAGCTCCTGTAGTTCGACATCATTGACATTACGTAAATGGACAATAAAAGAACCTTTCTCATTTCCACTTAACTCAGCTCCAATCATCATGACATGACCCGCTTTAAATGGCAACGGTACATCACCACTAAAATGAAGACGTTCTTCCATTGCCTGCATCGGTGGCCATACAAATGGAAAATATTTTCGATGATCTACTTGACGTACCACCTTCAGACCACCATCTATCTCCAGATGAGTTAACAAATTTAAACGTATCCGATATTTATAGGAGACCTCAAGGCTATTATTGATACAAATGCGAAATTTTTCATCAGCCATCACGATATAGATTCGGAAATCTTTGGTAAATACTGAGGTATTGAAGGCCTTAGCATCATCATCACACCATGCTCCGTTTATGTACTTTCTGAACAGAATTATATCCTTGAGGAAATTCACAGAGATTTGAAGACCAATATTGGAATTATCTTCGACAGTTTCATGACCGGTCTTGAGGTTGATGTGGAAACTGAAAAAAGAATGTCAAGGACATTTAATTAAATCGAAAAAAAAAATATTGTATGATTTTTCGAAAAAAATCAATGTTAAGAAAAATATTTTTAAACAATTCAAAATCCTTGAAAAACATATTCTTATACAGTTACAGCCTGTGATAGTCCTTGGAAAAATATTCTTTGGAAAATGCATTAAGGCAGCTCTTAGGAAATCCATTCCAAAAAAATCCACAAAGTGAAAAATTATTCTTTAAAAAAACCACATTATGGCGGTTCCTGACAACGAAATTCTACAAAACATCCACACAGTGGATTAAATTCAAGCTGCATGTTTCATAAAATTGTTTAAAAAATTAACCCTGTAATTGTCCTGAAAAAAGTATTCTTAAAAGATCAACCAAGTAATGGCTTTGCAAAAAAAATATTGCTTCAAAAATCCACATTGGGACTTGAAAAAAATATTTTTTAAAAAAATCGACAATGTGGTACTCCTTGGTACTCCTTCACCACACTGTGGTACAGGGTATTATGCCTTTGTGCATATGTTTGTAACAGGCAAAAGGAAACAAGATAGACACATGGTTCCTTTTGAGAATATGCATAGAATCACTTTCTGAGTCGATTTATGTATGTCCGTACGTCTGTCTGTCCATGTTAAATTGTAAACAAAGTACAGGTCGCATTTATGATCCGAATTGGATGAAATTTGGCATAGGTCATTTGTTTGGCCCAAGGACGAACCCTATTGAAATTGGGAAAAATCGGTTCAGATTTAGATATAGCTCCCATATATATTTCCTCCAATTTAATGTAAACGGTCCCTATATATCTCGATTTGCACAAAATTTGGCACAGCGTAATGAATAAGGTCTAGAATGATGTGTGTAAAATTTCATGAAAATCGGTTCAAATTTGGATATAGCTCCCATATATATTTTCGTCCGATTTTAGGTAAATGGTGCACCAAAGTCCCTATATATCCTTCGATTTGCACGAAATTTGGCATAGCGTACTGAAATAAATCTAGAAATATGTGATTTCAATTTCGTAAAAATCGGTTCAGATTTAGATATAGATCCCATATATATTTTTGTCCGATTTAAAGTAAATGGTGCACCAAAGTCCCTATATGTTTATATATATAATCAAGGCTTCCATCTGTTGAATATACCCAAAGTGGTGAAGGGTATCATATAGTCGGCCCCGTCTGACTTTACTACTTTCCTTACTGGTTTTCTACTTAGTCTTTCCATCTAATTCGTGGCCTTCCCCTTCTACGGGAACCATCAGTAGCAGGGATGGTCCGTATGACGAATTTTTAGGTTTTCGACTGTCAAAAATGTGTAAACGTCGAAAACGTCATATACCTGTATAAAATGTAGTAAATGTTGAAAACGTCATTTATTCAAATATTATTACCATATACCGTTATTCTCAAACTCATTAGTAAAAATAGGTATTTTGTCAAAAACCTAATGGTTTTGGGTGGGTTTCCGACGTTTCTGACGTATGTAATATACGTCGAAAATGTATGTCATTTACGTCACTGTTTCTGACGGACCATCTCTGATCAGTAGGCTCGCTTTTATATGCCTTTTGAGCTGGGGCATTCTCATTCATTCGCACAACATGGCCTAGGCATCGTAGTCGCTGCAGCTCAATACGACTGACTATGTCGATGTCCGCGTATAAATTACAAAGCTCGTGGTTCATTCGACGCCGATATTCACCGTCGACGCAGATCGGCCCGTAGATCTTTCGGAGAATTTTTCTTTCAAACACCCCAAGAGCTGCCTCATCTACTTGCGCAAGTACCCATGCTTCAGATCTATATAACAGCGTCTTGTAAAGTGTGAGTTTGGTCTGGCGGGAGGTGACCTTGTTTCCAAACTGCTTACTTAGACCATAGTAGCATCTGTTGGCCAACGTATTGCTATTTAAAATAGTATTCCGTAAAAAGTCCACACTGTGATAGTTCTTGAAATAATATTCTTCAAAAAATCGATGCTGCGACTATATGATACCCTTCACCACTTCGATATATTCTGCATTTGTATCCTAACAGACGTCAGAAGAAAATATATAAAGTATATACCTGAACCGATTTTCACGAAATTTAACACACGCCATTATATCATTCTAGACTCAGTACAGTACGCTATGCCAAATTTTGTGCAAATCGAAAGATATATAGGGGTTCTGGTGCAACATTGAAATAAAATCGGCCGAAAATATGTGTGGGAGCTATATCTAAATCGGAACCGATTTTCACGAAACTTATCACACGTTATACTAGGCCCAAATTCAGTCCGCTGTGTCAAATTTCCTACAAATCGAATGATATATAGGGACTTTGGGACCTCATTTACCTTAAAACGGACGAAAATATATATGGGAGCTATATCTAAATCTGACCCTATTTTCCCAAAAGTTAGAACTCATAATTTTAGACGCAATTCGGTGCTGTATACCAAATTTCGTGCAATTCGAAAGTTATATTGGAACATTGGTACACCATTTACATTAAATCGGACGAAAATATATATGAGAGCTATATCGAAATCTGAACCGATTTTCAGGAAATTTAACGCACACCATTCTAGACTTAATTCAGTACGCTGTGCCAAATTTCGTGCAAATCGAAAGATATACAGCGAATTTGGTGCAGCATTTATTTTAAATCGAATGAAATTATATATGAGAGCTATATGTAAACCTGAACCGATTTTCACGAATCTCAGCAGACATCATTCTAGACACAATTCAATTCGCTGTGCCAAACATCGAGCATGGTCCAAAAATTTTGTTTTTTAAATTAACCTGAGTCTGTTACAAAAAATATTATTTAAAAAATCCTCACTGTAAAGGTAGTTGAAAACAAAATATTTTTCCTGTAAAAGTGTTTCGGAAAAATATTCTTTTAAAAATCCGGATTGTGATGATCTTTAAAAAAATATTCTTAAACAAGTCCACTCAGTGTTGATCAATGAAAAAAATACTCTTTAAAAAGTGATGTTTTGGAAAAAAAGTATTTAAAAAAATTGACGCTATTATTTTTTTAGTCTTTGCTGTGTCGGTTCCAAGCAAAATAATTTAAAAATATCGGCACTGAATTGGCCTTGAAAAAAAATATTTTTTCTTGTGATGGTCTTTCGGAAAAATATCTTTGAAAAAATATTATTTCAAAAAAAAGTTTAGACTTTATGGTCCTTGAAAAAATATTATTTTAAATTTCATCCTGATAGTTCTCGAAAAAATATTATTTAAAAAGTCGCACCCTGAAATGTTTCTCAAAAAAGATTTAAAAAATCCACATCACACAGATCATAGAAAAAAACTATTCTTTTAAAAAAACCACACTCTTTGGCCCTTGAAAAAATATTTTTTTAAAAATCCCTGCTGTGGTAGTTCTTGAAAAATGTATTCTATATAAAATCCACTCTGTTATGGTCTTTAAAAATCATTTCTTCAAATTTATGCTGTGTTAGTCTTCAAAAATATTCCTTAAAAAATCTACACTCTGACGACCATTGAAATAATCTTTAAAGCCCCAACCTGTGATGGTCCTTGAAAAAATATTCTTAAAAAAAAATCCGGAAATTACGGTCCTTGAGAATGTATTTTTAAAAATCCACACTGTGTAGTTACTTGTAGTTAAAATCCACACACTGTAGGACCTGTTTAAAAACTCCGCTCTTAGTGCTGATTAAAAAAATATTTTTTCAAAATTCCACACTTCGATGTTCCTTAAAAAATATTTTTCAAATAAATTATAATTACCTTTTCGCATCCTTTTTGGCTTTTCCAGATATTTCCAAGACATGTCCAAACCTTAAAGATTCGGTAAAATTGCAAAGAAAAAATACACCCGACATTTATTTTCCCTTTTACGAGCTGCTAGCTGCGAAACTAACAAACAATGACTGATGAATATGCCGGATAAGGTCTGATGAGCGTATAAAAAAGTTGTGGTAAAGAAATCTATATTTATTTTTAAATTTAGTTATTTAAAACCAATAACTGAATCACAGAACCCAGGTTTATTTTCGTCATGACCTAACTCACGGAGAACGTAAATTAGTCGTCCGGTTATCACAATGACTTTAACTAATTAGACAGTTATCATTATGGGCCCTGCACCTCCACCCACAATGCCAATTCATTACTCATAGTCTGTCCCCAAACTGAACCTGCAGATCCTAACCGAAAAAATACAACAACCTCTGCTTTCAGTGTCCATCTGCTTAGGACAATCAATCTCTACCGGGGCCAACGAACTATCCAAACGACCGACCGCCCATCCGGCCACCATTCATAGACAAATACGAATAAAGACGATAGATTAATGCCCGAACACACAAGTGCCAAAGCATAAAACCGATGAATTTTCAGCTCCCTAAGAAACGCTAAGAATAAAATCCAACAAAAGCTAAGAGGCGATAATACCGCAAAACAAATGACTTGTAATTTCTCAATATTCGAAAATAGAAATGCCAACGGATGGCAAGGAATTTTTGCGGGGGGAGTAGAGAAAACAGTGTAGAGCCACAGCCACTTAGTTTAGTTAAACTAACAGACAATGTAGCCACAATGAAAACATGTGGTCTTGGCCATGGTTATAATGATTATCATCACCGTTATTTTTCCATAGAATATAGGGGAATCACTTGTCATATCCCGCAGCCAGCATTTGTTAAACAAATGAATTGGCATTATAATATAAAGAACTTAAAGAATATTTTCTCTGCTGAATTGTAGGCGTGGATTTTATAAAGAATATTTTTTCCAGAAAGGCAAAAGCGATTGGGGGATTTAAGTAAAGTCATCACAGCGTGATCTTTTAAAGAATATTTTTTAAAGATTATATAGCGTCGATTTTTAAAAAATATATTTTGAAGGACCAGACAGAGTTAATTTTATTAGGCATATTTTTTCACAGTGTAGATTTATGAGACCAGTAAGGAAAGTACAAAAGTCGGACGTGGCCGACCATATGATAATCTTCACCACATTGGGTACATACAAGTGACGATAAAGCGGGCCACGTAATGGTGATTGGAGCTGAGCAAATTGGGAATGAGAAGGGTTCTGTTATTGCCCATTTACGTAAGACGATATCAGATGGAGAACATTGCTGGTAGAGTAGATTATAATGGCATAACGTAGATACTGAAAATTCCACGTATATATCCCCTTCTAAAAATCCTTTTTATCAATTTTTCTAGTTTTGGCGAGGAGCGAGGTTCGCCCAAATTTTTACCAAATTTAGCTTAATTTAGCAAACATTATTTCCATAAGTACCTTCCTCAACCATCCAACAAAACTTCCTGCATACCCCGATCCTACATAATGATTTTTATACCCTCCACCATAGTATGGAGGATATATAAATTTTGTCATTCCGTTTGTAACCCATCGAAATATTCATTTCCGACCCTATAAAGCCATGTCCGTCCGTCTGTTGTAATCACGCTATCTTCTGAAGGAATTGAGATAGGGTGCTGAAAGGGTTGTCTTTTGTCTTCAGGCAAGTCAAGTTCGAAGATGGGATATATCGGTCCACGTTTATGCATAGCTCCCATATAATGGTACCCCCCAATTTTCGTTTTTTTTGGGGTTCTTGAGCGCGTTTTTCAACCGAATTCGCTGAAATTTAGAACATTGGGTTGTTATTGGGTACTAAATGTCTCCACAAAAAATATAAATATAGGTCCACTTTTTCTGGTAGCCCCATATAACGGTACCTCTTAATTTTCAGTATTTTGGGGGTCTTGCTCGTATTTTTCCACCGAATTGGCGGTAATTTAATATTTTGAGTTCTTAATAGGTTCCAAATCTCTCCACAAAAAATTATGGAGAGATGGTCCATTTTTTCGGATAGGCCCCATATAAGGGTACCCCCAATTTTCGCTATTTTGGGGTTCTTGGGCGCGCTTTTCTACCGAATTCGCTGCAATTTGGTATTTTGTAGTCGTATATGGTACCAAATCTTTTTTGGCGTAGTCACCATAAACCCCATATTTATTTATATTAAAAAAGTTATCTGATTTGTTCCGCGTTTTGAGTTTGGTTCTAAGAATATGTTGAAATCATTTCACCTGCGGAGGATATCGAGATAAAAACTTAAGGTTCGATAATGAACTATATATGACCTATAGCCCGGATTTAGGTCTAGGTCTAGCCCCTGTGTTGGACGTACCAAAAGGAGTGGACCGATATTCCCCATCTTCGAACTTGAACTAAGTTTGGAAGAAATAATAAGATAGGCAAAGTTTGGATGAAATCAAAATTTTTTGAAACGGATTTGGTCCAAAGAAATATGGGTCTGGAACCATGTCACTGTATGAAAATGTATACACCCTTATTAGAGATAAGGCTGAGGTTATAAATATCCATTAAAAAAATGGTTTACATAATCAGTTTGTAGAAAGGTCACTTTTCGTTCCCTATATTTTCATTTCAAGTACCTGTCATATATACCCTCCACCATTCTCCATCTATGGTGGAGGGTATCCAAAGTTCGGCCCGGCGAAACTTAATTTTTTTTCACTTGTTTTATTTTATAAACCTACACTCCCACAGTGATCCTATATCCAAGTTTCAGGATTCCAAGTCTATCGATTCACCTACAGTTCAAATTGTACCAAATTTAGTACACAGTAGTATCAATTTCCACAACTTCCTATTTAACACAAGCCTTCACCCCCACAATGATTCCAAATTCAAATTTTAGGATTTCAACTCTATCGGTTTACCCACAATTCAAATTGTACCAAATATAGTACATGAATTTTCAAAACTTCCTACATACCCCAATCCTACACCACCACACCGATCCTAAATAAAATTTTCAGGATTCCAACTCTATCGGTTCACCCACAATTCAAATTGTACCAAATATAGCACACAGTAGTACGAATTTTCAAAACTTCCTACATACAACAATCCTACACCCCCACACTGATCCTAAATAAATTTTTCAGGAATCCAACACCATCGGTTTACCCACAATTCAAATTGTACCAAATATAGTACACAGTAGTACCAATTTCCAAAACTTCCTTCATACCCCAACCATACACCGCCACTGTGATCCCAAATCCAAGTTTCTGGATTCCAACTCTATCGGTTCACTCACAATTCAAATTGTACCAAATTTTGTACACAATAGTACAAATTCCTAAAACTTGTACATTTCTTTACTTTTACAAATTTCATGATTCTAGCTCTATTGGTTCACCTAAAATTCAAATTGTACCAAATTTTAGTACCATTTAGTACCTATAAGTATTAATTTCTTAAACTGAATCCTGACCCCAATCCCAAACCCATACAGTGATCTTCACTCCAAATTTCATTTTTCTCGCTCTATCGTTTCACCCAAATCCAAACTGTACCGATTACAGTACGATTTAGTACTTTTCGCACACATAAGTAACAAATTTCTTCCCAACCCTTATTCGCATTCAAATTTCAAGCTCTATCCATTCACATGCAACGAAATTGTACCAAATTTAGTACATTTTAGTACTTTTCACTTACTTATAGTTCGAATGTCTAAAAAACCCTTTGCTATATTTATTCTACACTCTATCAGTGACCCTCATTTAAAATTTAAGAGCTCTAGCTCTACCGTTACGTCAAATATAAATGGTATCATATTTAGTACTACCGTTCTAGTATAAATTTCCAAAAACCCAGCCTTATCTGTCACCTTTGGACCAAGAGTGACCTTCAACCAAAAAGTCAGTCAATCATTTTAGCCCTATAAGCGAATGAATAAATATTTTTAAAGAAAAACATTGCCTACTTTTAGGCGAATGTATTTATTAATCGTGATAAACAAACGCACAACCAAACATATTTTTATACAACTCTACTCAAGAGTATAGCTTGTTCAAAAATAGCAGGAGACGGCACACATACCGCCGAATCATGAATAATATCTGCGCTCAATACCTCACATACCATAGCCGCAAATCAACAAATTCCCAATTCAGTTCATTCGAAGAAAGCATTCTGGCAAGTGTAACACAATGGGTAAACTGTCGCCAGTATTTCGCTGCAATTTTGCGGAACATTTACGTTTTGGACATTGTTTTGAAATTTGCGGCAAGGCCAAAGAAGGTGCTAATAGGTATTGAGTGTGTGTGTGTGTGCGTTTTTATATATTTTCCTAAATCGTAGACAAAGTGTGGTTTTTTATTATATCGCTCGTGTGGGGTGTGAATCGAAAATACAATTAATATTTTTGTTATGTTTATAAATATCGAAAAAAAATCATAAACAAAGAAGTTGATATTAATGTTGAGAAAAATGTAATCGGTGATTTACATGTCGCTTGTGGGATGCCCCCTTGCAGGGATTTCCCGACAATGATATCACGTATTACAAACGGAGCTTTTAAGTTCTATATTACATTATTACAAAAAAAAAAAATCAAAAAATAATAAAAAAAAATATTTAAAAAAAAATCTACGATTGAATAGAACTAAACAAAATATTAAAAATATATAAATACGCGCTTGAATAAATCTGGGAAAAAATTTAATAAATCCGCGCTTGAATAAATCCACACTTTTAAAAATCTTCATAAAATATTTTGAAATCGACCCGATGATGCATCAGTAGAGATGGGCAGTGGGTAAATACCCGGTAAATTGGGTAAATACCCATTTGTGGGTATTTATTTGGGTATTTACTATATTGAATGGGTAATACAACATCTTACACCTCAAATCTTCATACTCAAAATAGGGGTACCTTTGTATGGGGGCTACCAGTAAACGTGGACCTACATACATAAATTTTTGCATAGACATTTGGTACCCAAACAGAACACTCTGGATTTCTATATTTGGCATTAAAAACATGTGTGCAAAATTTTGGCCGCCTATGTCAAGTGGTTCGGCAGTTAATGAGTTTATACCCAATTTTTTTTAATTTAAGTATTTACCCACGTCTTTAAAGTATCGTAAAACTATCCATTCTAAATCGATTTGATAGCAGAGAGCCGGAAATAGGGTGTAAGATGTTGTATTACCGATTCAATGTAGTAAATACCCAAATAAATACCCGCAAATGGGTATTTACCCACCCCTTGGGTATTTACCGGGTAAATATCCGGTAAATACCATCTCTATGCATCAGCAATAAAGGGTTGTGGAATCTGATAGATGCTAGGTAGAGCTGGAGTGTTGATTCAGTAGTTAAGATGGCGTTCTCGCAGTCATCACGTATTTCTGGGAGTTGGAACGTCTTCGGGTTCTCCCCCTAGAGCAGATTTCTCGGAACTGCATAATCATCCAATAGCAGATGCAACCCGTTTACTGCGTCGCCGTCGGAGTTGTCTTTATATACTGTTATGGATGTCACAAATTCTTCAACTGAGGCGGCATCTTTCTGCCCCCAAAAACGCAAAGTACAATGCGGAAACGAACCCGTCCGGTTGTTGTTCTGCATTGCCTGGATCAGTTATTTGAATTGGCTTTCAGTGAACTGCGTCATCTCTTCTTCTTCGCCTGACACGTACTCGTCGCTATCTGCTTTGGTAGTTTCCGTGAATGTAATCTTTATGTCGTTGTTCGTGGCCACTTCGTTGGGCGTCAGTGAAGAAGCTCGACCTTGGGTGTCAATGAAGCAGGCCCCACGTTGGGCGTCAATAAAGCACCTCGTGCGCGGAGCTTGTATGGCATCAGCCGAAACAACTTAACTACTTCCAGCTTATGATCTGAGTCCATCAACTTGGGCAAGCGTGGGTAATGATATTAAGCCTTCAGTGTTCGCTAAACGAATTAGAGTCGGGGAGTCCAGACTCGGAGGGTCGCGATTTTAGGTACTACAATAATATTTGAATAAAAACAGAGTTGATCCGCTTCAATTTTATAATAAATTCATGCAAAAAATATATATATTTTTTATAAAATCCACGCTTGGGTTATATCATCAAAAATTTTTTTGGTAATTTTTTCCAAATTTCTAGATTTCACATTTCCCTCCGCACTGATATATCCGAAACGGGAGAAAATCTCAAAATTGGCCTCCATGTGGTTATAATAAATTGGCCTCAATTTTATAATAAATTCATGCAAAAAATATATATATATTTTTTATAAAATCCACGCTTGGGTTATATCATCAAAAAATTTTTTGGTAATTTTTTCCAAATTTCTAGATTTCACATTTCCCTCCGCACTGATATATCCGAAACGGGAGAAAATCTCAAAATTGGCCTCCATCTGGTGGTGGATTTTGAAAGCAATAAAATTTTCCTCAATAAATTTCTTGACAACAATTGGTGTGAAGAGGAACAATACGAATATGAAACACGACAATTGCAAGAAGAATTCAAAATCTATATTGCCCTGGCCGATGGTAAATTCCACTTGAGCATTAATGGCCAGGCCTTGGCTACATATTCGTATAGCATTCGGTTATCACTGCTAACGCGAATGGATATTCTTGGAGATTTGGAATACATCCGACAAATGGATCATCGTAAATATTTCCCATATATTTGGCCACCAATACAAGTCGTCGAGGATCGTATACAATTTAGTGGTGATGTTCCAATGCCCTTTGAACCGGGTCATATAATGGTCATCTCGGCTCAGTTGGAGGGTAATGCCAATGGACGTTTTATTCTACACTTGAGAAATATATGGGATATGGAGAGGCAGGAATTGCATTTCAGTGTTCGATTTGATACACGAAGTGTGGTGAGAACTTCGAAGACCATATTGGAAGATGAACATTATAGGTAGGTGGATATGGAGGGATTTTCAAGAGTTTTGTAATTTATTTATTGAATTGAAATTGTTTGTCTTTTTTTAGTTTCGATCCAGAAGATGTTGGAGATATTGAATTTCCCTTTGAGGAATTTTCCAAACCTTTTAAGTTGGCCATTGGTTTTATGGATAACGAATTGAAAATTGCCAAAGATGGGGTATTCCTTTGTCAGTTTGCTTTTAGAACACCTAACATTCTACCGTATGTAGGAGGCTTGAAAATCTTTGGCATTGATGATGTTCAGGTCAAGGTCAAAGAAATTGAGTACACCAAACTCGATGTTTTATGTACGGATTTTGAATGTCTCTCCCAAAAGAATTAATATTTTTAAGGAAAGAAAATTAAATATAGATCTCATAACTAAATATTAGATAATTAATGTGATTAACCAATAAAGTATTAAAAAAATAAAAAATATTTTATGAAGATTTATACGAGCGAAGATTTAGCAAGTGAAAAAGCGTCAAATTCGAAGATGGGGAATATCGGTCCACTTCTTCTGAAACCTCCACACAGGGACTAGGTCTTAATGCGGCTATAGTTCATTATCGAACCTTACGTTATAATTTTTTATCTCGCTATCCTCCGCAGGTGAAATGATTACAACAGAGTCTTAGAACCAAAATCAAAACGCGGAACAAATCAGATAACTATTTTAATATAAAAAACTGGGGAGCTATTTTCATCACCCGATGAAATAGTGAGCTAATATGTGCCCCGATTTCACCCATAAGAACTATAAAAAATGGGTTGAGGCGTTGGGATAGTTGCCCACTCTCGGAAAACCCAACCTACTATGAAAAAGCAAAGAAAAATAAAACCAAACGCCCATAATGTTGACAACCCCCGCAAACGTATAAAGGACCACGATCTGCGAATATGCACTTGGAATGTGCTCACGTTGTACAGAACAGGGGCAGTGTTCGCTTTGGCGGATGTACTCAAGAAGTACAAAGCCGATATTATTGCCTTACAGGAAATGAGATGGAAAACGACTGACGTAAGTAAATCAGATGATTGCGCCCTGTATTATAGCTGCCATGAATTTGGCTGCGGATTTATGGTTAACAGGAATAAAAGACCTCGTCTCCAGATTCACTTCAGTAGATGAGCGAATCGCTATAATCCGTATAAAAGCGGAAGGGAAAATATCTTTGGCTCCATCGTCGGAAAGTTCAGCCTCCATGAAGAAACATCAGACGACAGCATGAGGTTGATTATCATCGCGGCAGCAAAAAATAAGGTAGTTGGCAGCACCAGATTCAAGCGGATTTATGGTTAACAGGAGAATAAAAGACCTCGTCTCCAGATTCACTCCAGTAGATGAGCGAATTGCTATAATCCGTATAAAAGCGAAATTCTTCTACATTAGTCTCATTTGCGTCCATGCTCCGACCGAAGATAAAGATGAACAGACCAAAGACATAGTTTACGAGCGCCTAGAAAGAGCATATGACCGTTGCCCTGGCCATGACATTAAAATTCTTCTAGGAGATTTTAATGCAAATATCGGAACGGAAAATATCTTTGGCCCCACCGTCGGAAAATACAGCCTTCATGAAGAAACATCTGACAACGGCATGAGGTTGATTGACTTCGCGGCAGCAAAAAATATGGTAGTTAGCAGCACCAGATTCAAGCATCTTATACACAAGGTCACTTGAATTTCCCCCGTTCGAACAACGAGAAATCAAATCGATCATGTTGAGATAGACGGAAGGTATTCATCCAGTGTTTTAGACGTCCGATCGATCCGGGGAGCAAATATCGATTCGGACCATTACCTTGTGGCAGCCAAGGTACGCACCCGCCGTGCGTGCGATCTAATGTAACACGGAAATTTGACATTGAAAAGCTGCAAACACAACAGATAACAGAAGCCTACTCCGCTCAACTTACACAACTGCTTGACGAAAGCACCTCTTGTCTCGATAGTAATATAGAAGCACAATGGCAAAGAATTGTCCACTCCTACAAACTGCAACAAAAACAACACTTGGGTACCAAAGACCACCATCAAGAAATCCGTGGTGGTACGATCAGAAGTGTCGTAATGCTACTGATATGAAAAACGCAGCGCATAGGGCAATACTGCGGACAGTAGCAACACGTAATGCGTTGGAGAACTATCGGGAGAAAAGGAGAGAGGAGAAACGTATTTTCAGAAAAAGAAGAAAGACCAAGAAAAACGTGAGCGTGAGCAAATCGAGATGTACAGGAGTCAGAATGA